AAAAGTACAAGGGACTTCCTCCCACGTTTGATCTAAGTAACCGGACAGCAGACCTCATGCTGGGTTATTGGCACAAAAGCCTTTAGCTCCTCAGGATTATGGGTAGATTTTCAACTGTGCCTGCGTCTCCCTCATAGACCAGGATCCTCTACGTTTGCTGTCAGAACTGATTGGACTGTCTATTCACCTTCCAATAAAGTATTAAATTCCAAAATAAAGTATGGCTGTTGGTTTGTTCATGAAACACAATTATGAGGAAGTGATTATGGGCACATCCACTCCACTGTGCAAGGGAAAACCTATCTTTTTCTATTGGCTAACAATCTTTCTTTTCTTTCACACATTCTCAAGCATGCATAGAGTTAAAAAATAGATATAAAGATTAATAATTCTATACTGAAATGAAAAAATGTTTTCAAAGGGCTACTGATTCAAATCTTTCAATCTCTTGATTTTATTTATAAAATACTCAGATTTAAGTCTACAACAAACAGCAATGAATATTTGAAAGCTCTATATTTATTTATCAACATATGGATTATTGAACTCAACTAACATTCCTCAATTTAATCCTTTGATTCATTCAAAATTTGTTTATTTGGTTTTATTATTATTGTTAGCACAAGCAATGGTAGCAGATCACAGTGTAATGCTAGGGGGAATTATGATCTGATAGACTGAGGACCTGAATTAATCTGAGATGTAATCATTTTCGTTTAGATCTTAGAACACATTCACATATGTGTGTAGGGGGTTAAGTTTCTCATATGTGAACAGGGGGTTAAGTTTTTCTTAAGTTTCCTCTCAAGACCTATGTGAAGGGATTGAGGAAGTGGCTCAGCTGTGAATCCAACAAGCAGAACCCATAGGCAGGGTCAGGCCCACCCAACAGGAATCAAACCATCATCTCATCCACATCATCTCCTCACCATCATCTCCTCACCATCATCTCATCACCATCCTCTCATCAACTGAATGCTAAGGACAATAGCTGACAACTGAGGGCTCCCAGGGCTGCATGTAGCTGCATTCAGTCCCCAGCCCCTTCCCCTTTATAGTCCTGTCCCCTGTACCTGCTCAAAGACAGGATTTGATGCCTGTAAGTGTCCCGTCTTCTTGGTGGGTGGGCCTTCTCAGTAAACGCCTGATAGGATGCCACCTGCCTTCGTGATGGGACACAGCGACAGGCAGCCTGAGCCCACCCAGACGTTTCCTGGTAATAATACCATGGGCTTCTGATGAAAGTAAATCAACTTTAAAGACTCTTATTCTGTACAATCTCACCCGGTGTATCAGGCTCTGAGCACATGATCTCATTTGACCCTGTCATCACTCATCTGATCCAGAAGCCAACCATGGATTGGGGTAAATTTATTTCATATGAGGTCATTGAACTCAAACATTTCAACCTAACGTTTCTGTTCACTTTCCTCTCCTCTCACTGTATCTCACATGCATCCTTCATCACCACCATCACCACACTGAGGAATTAGCTTCAATGCAATCAGGGAAAGAAACAAAAGACATACTAGTAATTGTGGATGAATTATTATTTAGCTGAAGCTGAAACCAAAGAGCTTTCTTAAAAACCTAAATATCAGCAAAATCTGAAATTTTCCTCATAGAAATGGGCAACACGAGGCATATATTTTTGATGGAATAAAAAACAGGTGAAGTAAAATACCAATGTTTTCCTAGAATTAAATAATATAGTCAGATGACAATAAAAAATGAACATATTTAGTTTAAATTGGTCAAATTTCGTCAACTATGTGTGATTGAGTCTATACACTATCTTAGGTGCTGCCTACAGCTGTGGCAGGCAGAATTTATTCTCAGCGATGTTTTGTTGGAAGGAACAGTGAATACAGTCAGATGGGAAATGTATTATCAAACATGTTACTTATTGTAGGACTCTGTCCAGAGCACACCGATGTTCAAGGCCACTCTGAGTGTGGGAATCCTAATCAAAGTGTTCAAGGTTGAGTTGCTATATGCAGGTGCAAAGCAAGGACACAGCAAGCCATACACTGCTTCCACATGCCTTTCTGTAGCCAAAATACTGATGTTACTATTTGGCAAAAAGCCCCTTTTGTTTGAGCATGTTTGGGCATGTTTATAAGGTGCCACTGACCACCTGCTGTGGCTGCTGTTGTGTGTAATTAAGCAGGCCCCATTTGCCTGCTGGTACCCTATGTCCTTCAGATTCCCCTCATCCAGAAGGTTAAGTCCCTAGCCTAGGAGCTTGCCTCTGACACGTAGAAACCTCAAAACAGAACAAAAACCCCAGCACCACCTACAAAACAAAGCCCAGGTACATGTTAAAGTCTGTGAAACACACACAATGGGAAAGACCAAGCCCCAGGCGTGGGCTCACTCCAGTGGGGCTTCACCTTGAACCGTGGGCTCACACTCGGGTTCCTTACAAGCCGAGGAAATTCACTGAAGGCTGGCGGCTAACCTCTATGATGTTCCTGTTTTTGTCTCAGTCACATCCTCCCTGCCATGTTTATTTTTTGCAGCATTTCCAGGCATCAAGATTTCAGGAGACTCTGAGTAAAATATTATATAATCTTAAGAGTTCAGAAGTCTTTTTAATTTAAAATCCTGAAGAATTAGGATATCTTATTGAAAAGGTTGGGGGTTGAGT